TTTATGTTTTAAATATATTCTTTCATCACTTACAGATATATGGTACCATTGTCTGGTAAATAATGGTTAGGGTTCATATATAGTACCTGGTGTTATGGGGCAGATGAACTTTAACACCTCTTAACTGTATATAATATCATGTTTAATATATTGTTCAGTTAGCATCTTGGACCTTAGTTAGGTAACTCTTCTTGGTTATATATAAATTCATCCTTGGGCAGTCATTTTCTTAAAGTAGCCAATGCTGAAATGTCAAACTCTGGGTTAAAATTAGTTGTTTGATCATGTCAAGCAGAAGACTTGTTTAAATTAACATACAGTATTTAGATATTTGCTGTTCTTATATACAACTTTTCCTAATAGTACTGGCATGTGTTTTTCTAACAATGGTGTTTTAAAAAATGATTGCTACAAGAATGTCATTAATTTTGTGCACCTGAATATATAGATTTATGTTAATACAGGCTGTCCCCAACTTACAACAGGGATAAGTTCCTGGACCCATAGTTTAGGTTAGGTTAAAGCCCATACAAAACAACAATAATATCCCATATATAATAAATAATGTAAATAAAGTGATGTTAAACAATATATAAGGATAAGAATAATGTAAAAAATGGGATTTTAATGACAAGTTTTTGTGGTGAATGTATTGGGATCCCGTTCATTAGTGCGGGTGATGGTAAGTCGGACGGTCGTAACTCGGGGACTGCCTGTATACACTTTATGTTTGCCCATGATGTGCCACAAACATTAATATCTTACAGAATGAGATATAAGTATTTAAACTATTGCTGAATATTTTATTACAACCCCAATATTGTAGAACATGTGTACAGTAATGGCTGGTCTTCAGATACTGTATGTGGATGTACTAAATTAATATTGCTGTAATTGCCCTAAAATTCATTATGAGTAAAGAAGCATTAAAATAATAAGTTTTGTATTTATGGAATTTAATGAGCAGAAGATTCCATGGCTGGTTTATATTTTGAGTTGAGAGCCAAATGTTAGATTGGTCTGGACGACGCCCGGGGAGGAGCCAAGGTAATATTTATGATAATTTACTGTTTTATGACCGTAATTATTGCTGGAAATGATTCTAGATAGAATATTATTAAATAACATGATGGCAAGGGTTGAAGGTGACTGCCAATAACTCATAGAGATGAGTATTTTGTATAAATTTGGGTCACTTGTATATTACATTATGTATACAGTGAACTGGAATCATAATATATTATTTATTGACATCATATCAATATTGTCTCCATATTACAAGTCCTACTGCGTCCCGAGAGACACGAGTGCCAGTGTATTACGTTGGTACTCGTGTCACGCAGAACACACTATAACTTGTGGTATGGAGACAATATTTATATGATTTAAGGACTGGGAGTTAGCACCACCAAAGAGTGGGTAGCATACAAGAATTAAATCTAAATTATTATGTATAAGTAGGAGGTGACATAGTGGTCAGTGACTCTTCCTGTGGTAGGAGGTCCCTGACAGTGGGACAGTCAAGGCAGTAGTGTTGAGGGAAGTTAGCATTGGGACAGTTACTGAGTTTACAGGAAGAGAAGTGCAGGCCATCTCCCACCTCAGATACTAACCTAATGCTAAAAAAGACAACATTATATCTGCTGACCATAAGTCCACTTCGACGATACTTGTGTGGACGAGGAAGAAAGTGATCATAGTTTTGGGTGGATATATCTTCAGCCAGTTCACTATGCCTGTGATGGATTGTAGGGAGAAGAGCGGCTTAACGTATTCCCTCTCAATAGGGTCATGTTGGGCTTATATTGAGGCCTAACAGATCATGGTTGGACAGTCAGAGTTTGGAGAATCAGTTATTGATTAATCTCTTTTTTTTTTCTTTTTACTTTTATCCTCTTCACCACTGAACGACTCGTTAGCTGCTTGGGAGATCAGTCACGTCTGCGTTACGCACTGTTGGCAAGTACTGGCCTTGAACTGGCTCCTGAATGTACCTGAACCTGCTCCAGTGTTGGTCAAGTCTGGTCTTGAAACAGCTCACACTCGGTGCCGTCACAACACTCTCTGGTAGATTGTTCCAAGAGTTTACAGCTCACACTCGGTGCCGTCACAACACTCTCTGGTAGATTGTTCCAAGAGTTTACAGCTCACACTCGGTGCCGTCACAACACTCTCTGGTAGATTGTTCCAAGAGTTTACAACCCTTACTCCGAAAAAGTTTGCCTTCACAGTTTTCTGGACTTGTGGCTTCTTCAATCTTGAGCTGTGACCCCTTGTGGGGCGAGCGTCCGCCAGCTCCAAGTAAGGACACTCGACTGAGTAGTGCCCCTTGAGATGCTTATTCACCTCAACTAGGTCCCCCCTTGCCCGTCTGTAGTATAAGCTAGACAAGTTCAGGCGCTCCAATCTCTCAGGGTAGCTGAGGTGCCATAGTGCAGGCACCAGTCTGGTGGCCCTCCTTTGAACATTTTCTCGGGGACCAGACGGGGTGACAGTACTCCAGATGGGGAAGCACTTCACTCCTGAAGATCGTCACGAGGGACGGACCGTCTAGATATCTGAACGACCTTCTTATAAGACCCAATAATTTATTTGCCTGATTTACCTTCTTCTCGCAATGGCCCGAGAACTTCAGCTCATTGTCAACATACACTCCTAGGTCCTTCTCACATTCAGTCTCAACTAGTGCAGTTTCTTCATCCCATTGGGACATATGATACGTCTCCTTACCGTTGGTACGCCCCAGGTGCATCCTCTTACACTTCGTGACATTGAATCTCAGCAGCCATTTCTTCGACCATTCTTGGAGCCCACAGAGGTCCTTCTGCAGCCCTTCACAGTCCGCTTGGTTCTTGATTTCGCGAAATAACTTGGCGTCATCGGCAAACATTTGTATGGAGGAGTGTACAACGTCAGGCATATCATTTATGAAACAAACAAATAACAGCGGGCCCAATACACTGTCCTGTGGTACCCCGCTTGTGACAGGTACGGATGATGATTTCCTGCCATTAATCACCACACACTGCTTGCGGTCATGTAGGAAGTCTACTATCTACACTAGGACATTTCCCCGAATTCCGTACCCTTGAGTTTAATTTTCAGCCCAGTACTTGCCAACAGTGCCTAACAGAGACGTGACCGATCGCCCAAGCGGCTAACGAGTCAATCATTTGGTGAAGAGGATGAGAGTAAGTCCTGGCCTCATGTCGCTTCCCATAACAGATTAGGGAAGGTTTTATGCTATTGTTACACTTTCTTGGATAAATTCTGGATAATATTATTCCTAATAAGTAAAAAAGTAAATTATTGACCTCCCGAACGGCTAGTAAGCAGATAAATGCTGAAAAATAAATCATTTTAAGCTTGGCATGACGAGGACGATACTCTATTGTTTAGTTATTTCACCATTTATCTGTTTATTTGCTAATCTGGCATTTAGTTCCGTATTTTATTAATTAATTATCACCTTAACTGTCCCGTGTTAGTACAGGAGGAACAGTAATTGGTAAATAACACTAAATAACACCACGTTTTATTCTCAGGCTGTGGGACTTGAACACAGGACAAAATGATGAACGCCTTACATTATTACCAAAAGATATTAATATATCTAACATTAATATACAATATAAAACTATTTTATTTTTTTATCGTAGTAAAGTTAATTTATCATAATATAAGTCATTAAATTAGTTTATTAACACACTAAGACCATTGCGGCATGTTGGTGATCAACAACCAAAACTATTGTAAACAAACACGAGTGAGGCAGAACTTCTTCCTATTATTATGGCTAATTATCACCTTATTAGTTATTGGATAATGACTAATTCAGGTAAGTGTGTTGATTATAATACTAGTAACATATTTTATAGAGTTTAATATAGGAGTGAGTTGTTTAATGGTTATAATGAACTGTTATGTGTTGGTCCGGGATGATAATGGCGTCGGTGCTAAGAATTTTACCTTCATATCCGTCGGAAATGAGTGGTGGAGTTATCACCCTTCCTCCATACAACCTAACCTAACCAACCAAAGAAACCTAACCTATGTATGTCCTTGTTAAGGTAATAACTAGACACAGTACAGTAAGTAACACAAACTTGATCACTTTATTTACCGTATAATATATACTTATAGATATATACTGGTATATTATATATATTGTATGTATATACTGGTATATACCCAGAATATTCACTTAATAGTTGTAAATTAATGGTGTAACCTTCCTGTGCACTCCAGGCAGTCGTGACGATTGTGTCAACTACCTGGTCATCATCTGTGTTTTGTAAAAAAAAATATAACCTGCCACAGACTACCTCAGGCTGATATAACCTGCCACAGACTACCCCAGGCTGCTATAACCTGCCACAGACTACCCCAGGCTGCTATAACCTGCCACAGACTACCCCAGGCTGCTATAACCTGCCACAGACTACCCCAGGCTGATATAACCTGCCACAGAACTGATGATGTAACACTGCGACAGACTACTGAATTTTGATATAGCCTGCTGCAATACCCCAGGCACAGTATTAACTTACCACACAGACAGACTACCCCAGGCTGATATAACCTGCCACAGACTACCCAGGCTGATATAACCTGCCACAGACTACCCCAGGCTGATATAACCTGCCACAGACTACCCCAGGCTGATATAACCTGCCACAGACTACCCCAGGCTGATATATCCTGTCCCACTGGCTCACCGACCCATCGGCAATATGCCCAAACTCCCGATAGGCCAGTCCGTCACTGGGTGACGATGTGTCATAAACCCTCATTAGCTGTAATTAAACCTTTGTAATTACGTTTAGAATATTTTCATTTTACACAAGTTGATTTACTCACTTGTAGTTTTCATTTATAAATTGTACTTTTTATAACAATATTATCTAAGGCAAAATATTTTGTTTCAGATACTGTGATGTCACATCTCAAGACCAAGTGTAACTAAGAAGAAGTTCACAATGTCAAGCAGAGATAAAAAGTTCTCCTGTGAGGAATGTGGCAAACAGTTTTGTTTAAAGTCTACTCTTCAGACACATTTACTTATACACAATGGTATGAAGGAGTTTGAATGTGAGGAATGTGGGAAACATTTATCATCTAAGAGTACTCTCAAGAAACACATTCTTGGACACAGTGGAATAAAGAAGTTTGACTGTGAGAAATGTGGAAAACGTTTTGCACAAAAGAGTACTCTCAAGAGACACATTCTTGGACATAGTGGAATAAAAAAGTTTCAATGTGAGGAATGTTGGAAATGTTTCTCACAGAAGAGTCATCTTAAGAGACACATTCTTGGACACAGTGGTATAAAGGAGTTTGAATGTGAGGAATGCAAGAAATGTTTCTCACGCAAGAATCATCTCAACAGACACATTCTTGGACACAGTGGTATAAAGGAGTTTGAATGTGAGGAATGTGGGAAATGTTTCTCGAGCAAGAATCATCTCAACAGACACATTCTTGGACACAGTGGTATAAAGGAGTTTGAATGTGAGGAATCTGGGAAATGTTTCTCACACAAGAGTGATCTCAAGGGACACATTCTTGGACACAGTGGTACAAAGGAGTTTGAATGTGAGGAATGTGGGAAATGTTTCTCGCGCAAGAGTGCTCACAAGAGACACATTCTTGGACACAGTGGTATAAAGGAGTTTGAATGTGCGGAATGTGGGAAACATTTTGCAGAAAAGGGTCATCTCACTACACACATTCTTGTACACAGTGGTATAAAGGAGTTTGAATGTTCTTGAGGTATAAAGGAGTTTGAATGTGAGGAATGTGGGAAATGTTTCTCACGCAAGAGTGCTCTCAAGAGACACATTCTTGGACACAGTGGTATAAAGGAGTTTGAATGTGAGGAATGTGGGAAATGTTTCTCACGGAAGAGTAATCTCACTACACACATTCTTGGACACAGAGGTATAAAGAAGTTTGAATGTGAGGAATGTGGGAAATGTTTCTTACAAAAGGTTAATCTCAAGAGACACATTCTTGGACACTGTGGTATAAAGGAGTTTGAATGTGAAGAATGTGGGAAATGTTTCTCACGCAAGGGTCATCTCAAATGTCATAAACTTGTGCATGAAAAAAACAGAATTCAATAAATGTTTGAGTGACTTTAACAGAAGGTAAATGTGCCACATAAACTTGAATACAGTGATATACATCAATATAAAACCACTTGAACAAACTCTATGAATGTAGCAGAAATAAAGACAAGTGACAAATGCCACTTTTATAGATATCAAACACAAGTTATAATTATTTGCTTTTAAGATGTAAATTTCTTCTACCATGGCCTTAGTGTATACATTTGGTGTTGGTTAAATATCACTCATAATAATTCTCCATTTTGTTTCATCAGCCTTTTAAATGTTATTTACAGTACAGTAGTAAGCAAAGGTAAAACTTATCATCTTTGTGCTTAAAATTTCATCTTCACTAGATAAGCTTTGTTGAACATTGATGAACTCTCATTTACTATAATTTGTGCATCAGTAGTTGTGTCAACTGTGTATGTCTGTCTTTATTTACACTTGACGTAAGTTTTGTTACAAGTACGTACATTAACACGGGTAGTAAATCATCTTGGTAAAGTAGTACAGTGGTGGTAGACCATTTGTTATAGTCAAGGTGTTGTCACTATCTCACGGAAACTCTTCAATCTCTGTTGAAATTGTACGTAAATATTTGATAAGTTTTGCTCAACTCTGACGAGATATTTTGATAAGACTAAAATGGTTGGTAGTTTTGATTCATGTTTTAAATATATTCTTTCATCACTTACAGATATATGGTACCATTGTCTGGTAAATAATGGTTAGGGTTCATATATAGTACCTGGTGTTATGGGGCAGATGAACTTTAACACCTCTTAACTGTATATAATATCATGCTTAATATATTGTTCAGTTAGCATCTTGGACCTTAGTTAGGTAACTCTTCTTGGTTATATATAAATTCATCCTGGAACAGTCATTTTCTTATAGTAGCCAATGCTGAAATGTCAAACTCTGGGTTAAAATTAGTTGTTTGATCATGTCAAGCAGAAGACTTGTTTAAATTAACATACAGTATTTAGATATTTGCTGTTCTTATATACAACTTTTCCTAATAGTACTGGCATGTGTTTATCTAGCAATGGTGTTTTAAAAAATGATTGCTACAAGAATGTCATTAATTTTGTGCACCTGAATATATAGTTTTATGTTAATACAGGCTGTCCCCAACTTACAACAGGGATAATTCCTGGACCCATAGTTTAGGTTAGGTTAAAGCCCATACAAAACAACAATAATATCCCATATATAACAAATAATGTAAATAAAGTGATGTTAAACAATATATAAGGATAAGAATAATGTAAAAAATGGGATTTTAATGACAAGTTTTTGTGGTGAATGTATTGGGATCCCGTTCATAAGTGCGGGTGATGGTAAGTCGGACGGTCGTAACTCGGGGACTGCCTGTATACACTTTATGTTTGGCCATGATGTGCCACAAACATTAATATCTTACAGAATGAGATATAAGTATTTAAACTATTGCTGAATATTTTATTACAACCCCAATATTGTAGAACAAGTGTACAGTAATGGCTGGTCTTCAGATACTGTATGTGGATGTACTAAATTAATATTGCTGTAATTGCCCTAAAATTCATTATGAGTAAAGAAGCATTAAAATAATAAGTTTTGTATTTATGGAATTTAATGAGCGGAAGATTCCATGGCTGGTTTATATTTTGAGTTGAGAGCCAAATGTTAGATTGGTCTGGACGACACCCGGGGAGGAGCCAAGGTAATATTTATGATCCCTATATTATACCGACAAAATGTAAATAAAGTAGATAGTTAAACAATATATAAGGATAAAAATAATGTAAAAAATGGGATTTTAATTACAAGTTTTTGTGGTGAATGTATTGGGATCCCGTTCATAAGTGCGGGTGATGGTAAGTCGGACGGTCGTAACTCGGGGACTGCCTGTATACACTTTATGTTTGGCCATGATGTGCACAAACATTAATATCTTACAGAATGAGATATAAGTATTTAAACTATTGCTGAATATTTTATTACAACCCCAATATTGTAGAACAAGTGTACAGTAATGGCTGGTCTTCAGATACTGTATGTGGATGTACTAAATTAATATTGCTGTAATTGCCCTAAAATTCATTATGAGTAAAGAAGCATTAAATAATAAGTTTTGTATTTATGGAATTTAATGAGCAGAAGATTCCATGGCTGGTTTATATTTTGAGTTGAGAGCCAAATGTTAGATTGGTCTGGACGACGCCCGGGGAGGAGCCAAGGTAATATTTATGATAATTTACTGTTTTATGACCGTAATTAATGCTGGAAATGATTCTAGATAGAATATTATTAAACAACATGATGGCAAGGGTTGAAGGTGACTGCCAATAACTCATAGAGATGAGTATTTTGTATAAATTTGGGTCACTTGTATATTACATTGTGTATACAGTAACTGGAATCATAATATATTATTTATTGACATCATATCAATATTGTCTCCATATTACAAGTCCTACTGCGTCCCGAGAGACACGGGTACCAGTGTATTACATTGGTACTCGTGTCATGCAGAACACACTATAACTTGTGGTATGGAGACAATATTTATATGATTTAAGGACTGGGAGTTAGCACCACCAAAGAGTGGGTAGCATACAAGAATTAAATCTAAATTATTATGTATAAGTAGGAGGTGACATAGTGGTCAGTGACTCTTCCTGTGGTAGGAGGTCCCTGACAGTGGGACAGTCAAGGCAGTAGTGTTGAGGGAAGTTAGCATTGGGACAGTTACTGAGTTTACAGGAAGAGAAGTGCAGGCCATCTCCCACCTCAGATACTAACCTAATGCTAAAAGAGACAACATTATATCTGCTGACCATAAGTCCACGTCGACGATACTTGTGTGGACGAGGAAGAAAGTGATCATAGTTTTGGGTGGATATATCTTCAGCCACTTCACTATGCCTGTGATGGATTGTAGGGAGAAGAGCGGCTTAACGTATTCCCTCTCAATAGGGTCATGTTGGGCTTATATTGAGGCCTAACAGATCATGGTTGGACAGTCAGAGTTTGGAGAATCAGTTATTGATTAATCTCTTTTTTTTTCTTTTTACTTTTATCCTCTTCACCACTGAACGACTCGTTAGCTGCTTGGGAGATCGGTCACGTCTGCGTTACGCACTGTTGGGAAGTACTGGCCTTGAACTGGCTCCTGAATGTACCTGAACCTGCTCCAGTGTTGGTCAAGTCTGGTCTTGAAACAGCTCACACTCGGTGCCGTCACAACACTCTGGTAGATTGTTCCAAGAATTCACAACTCTCACTCCGAAAAAGTTTGCCCTCACAGTTTTCTGGACTTGTGGCTTCTTCAACCTTGAGCTGTGACCCCTTGTGGGGCGAGCGTCTGCCAGCTCCAGGTAAGGACACTCGACTGAGTAGTGCCCCTTGAGATGCTTATTCACCTCAGTTAGTTCCCCACTTGCCCGTCTGTAGTATAAGTTAGACAAGTTCAGGCGCTCCAATCTCTCAGGGTAGCTGATGAGTCGTAGTGCAGGCCCCAGTCTGGTGGCCCTCCTTTGAACATTTTCTCGGGGATCAGACGGGTTGAGAGTACTCCAAATGGGGAAGCACTTCACTCTTCAAGATCGTTATGAGGGACGGACCATCTAGATGTCTGAACGACCTTCTTATAAGACATAATAATTTATTTGCCTGATTTACCTTCTTCTCACAATGGCCCGAGAACTTCAGCTCATTGTCAACATACAAACCTAGGTCCTTCTCACACACAGTCTCACCTAGTGCAGTTTCTTCATCCCGTTGGGACATATGACACGCCTCCTTACCGTTGGCACGCCCCAGGTGCATCCTCTTACACTTCGTGACATTGAATCTCGGCAGCCATTTCTTCGACCATTCTTGGAGCCCACAGAGGTCCTTCTGCAGCTCTTCACAGTCCGCTTGGTTCTTGATTTCGCGAAATAACTCGGCGTCATCGGTAAACATTTGTATGGAGGAGTGTACAACGTCAGGCATGTCATTTATGAAACAAACAAACAACAGCGGGCCCAATACACTGTCCTGTGGTACCCCGCTTGTGACAGGTACGGATGATGATTTCGTGCCATTAATCACCACACACTGCTTGCGGTCATGTAGAAAGTCTACTATCCACGCTAGGACTTGCCAACAGTGCCTAACAGAGACGTGACCGATCGCCCAAGCGGCTAACGAGTCAATCATTTGGTGAAGAGGATGAGAGTAAGTACCAGTAAGTCCTGGCCTCATGTCGCTTCCCATAACAGATTAGGGAAGGTTTTATGCTATTGTTACACTTTCCTGGATAAATTCTGGATAATACTATTCCTAATAAGTAAAAAAGTAAATTATTGACCTCCCGAACGGCTAGTAAGCAGATAAATGCTGAAAAATAAATCATTTTAAGCTTGGCATGATGTGTTATTGATAGACGTCGCTTATACAACAAAACCAAGACGAGGACGATACTCTATTGTTTAGTTATTTCACCATTTATCTGTTTATTTGCTATTCTGGCATTTAGTTCCGTATTTTATTAATCAATTATCACCTTAACTGTCCCGTGTTAGTACAGGAGGAACAGTAATTGGTAAAAAACACTAAATAACACCACGTTTTATTCTCAGGCTGTGGGACTTGAACACAGGACAAAATGATGAACGCCTTACATTATTACCAAAAGATATTAATATATCTAACATTAATATACAATATAAAACTATTTTATTTTTTTATCGTAGTAAAGTTAATTTATCATAATATAAGTCATTAAATTAGTTTATTAACACACTAAGACCATTGCGGCATGTTGGTGATCAACAACCAAAACTATTGTAAACAAACACGAGTGAGGCAGAACTTCTTCCTATTATTATGGCTAATTATCACCTTATTAGTTATTGGATAATGACTAATTCAGGTAAGTGTGTTGATTATAATACTAGTAACATATTTTATAGAGTTTAATATAGGAGTGAGTTGTTTAATGGTTATAATGAACTGTTATGTGTTGGTCCGGGATGATAATGGCGTCGGTGCTAAGAATTTTACCTTCATATCCGTCGGAAATGAGTGGTGGAGTTATCACCCTTCCTCCATACAACCTAACCTAACCAACCAAAGAAACCTAACCTATGTATGTCCTTGTTAAGGTAATAACTAGACACAGTACAGTAAGTAACACAAACTTGATCACTTTATTTACCGTATAATATATACTTATAGATATATACTGGTATATTATATATATTGTATGTATATACTGGTGTATACCCAGAATATTCACTTAATAGTTGTAAATTAATGGTGTAACCTTCCTGTGCACTCCAGGCAGTCGTGACGATTGAGTCAACTACCTGGTCATCATCTGTGTTTTCTAAAAAAAAATATAACCTGCCACAGACTACCTCAGGCTGATATAACCTGCCACAGACTACCCCAGGCTGATATAACCTTCCACAGACTACCCCAGGCTGATATAACCTGCCACAGACTACCCCAGGCTGATATAACCTGCCACAGACTACCCCAGGCTGATATAACCTGCCACAGACTACCCCAGGTATAACCTGCCACAGACTACCCCAGGCTGATATAACCTGCCACAGACTACCCCAGGCTGTTATAACTTGCCCACTGGCTCACCGACCCATCGGCAATATGCCCAAACTCCCGATAGGCCAGTCCGTCACTGGGTGACGATGTGTCATAAACCCTCATTAGCTGTAATTAAACCTTTGTAATTACTTTTAGAATATTTTCATTTTACACAAGTTGATTTAGTCACTTGTAGTTTTCATTTATAAATTGTAATTTTTATAAAAATATTATCTAAGGCAAAATATTTTGTTTCAGATACTGTGATGTCACATCTCAAGACCAAGTGTAACTAAGTAGAAGTTCACAATGTCAAGCAGAGATAAAAAGTTCTCCTGTGAGGAATGTGGCAAACAGTTTTGTTTAAAGTCTACTCTTCAGACACATTTACTTGTACACAATGGTGTGAAGGAGTTTGAATGTGAGGAATGTGGGAAACATTTATCATCTAAGAGTACTCTCAAGAAACACATTCTTGGACATAGTGGAATAAAAAAGTTTCAATGTGAGGAATGTTGGAAATGTTTCTCACAGAAGAGTCATCTTAAGAGACACATTCTTGGACACAGTGGTATAAAGGAGTTTGAATGTGAGGAATGCAAGAAATGTTTCTCACAGAAGAGTGATCTCAAGAGACATATTCTTGGACACAGTGGTATAAAGGAGTTTGAATGTGAGGAATGTGGGAAATGTTTCTCAAGCAAGAATCATCTCAACACACACATTCTTGGGCACAGTGGTATAAAGGAGTTTGAATGTGACGAATGTGGAAAATGTTTCTCACACAAGAGTGCTCTCAAGAGACATAATCTTGGACACAGTGGTATAAAGGAGTTTGAATGTGCAGAATGTGGGAAACATTTTGCAGAAAAGGGTAATCTCAAGGGACACATTCTTGGACACAGTGGTATAAAGGAGTTTGAATGTGAGGAATGTGGGAAATGTTTCTCACGCAAGAGTGCTCTCAAGAGACACATTCTTGGACACAGTGGTATAAAGGAGTTTGAATGTGAGGAATGTGGGAAATGTTTCTTACGCAAGGGTGATCTCAAGGGACACATTCTTGGACACTATGGTATAAAGGAGTTTGAATGTGAGGAATGTGGGAAATGTTTCTCACGCAAGAGTGATCTCAAGGGACATATTCTTGTACACAGTGGTATAAAGGAGTTTGAATGTGAGGAATGTGGGAAATGTTTCTCACGGAAGAGTAATCTCACTACACACATTCTTGTACACAGTGGTATAAAGGAGTTTGAATGTGAAGAATGTGGGAAATGTTTCTCACGCAAGGATCATCTCAAATGTCATAAACTTGTGCATGAAAAAAACAGAATTCAATAAATGTTTGAATGACTTTAACAGAAGGTAAATGTGCCACATAAACTTGAATACAGTGATATACATCAATATAAAACCACTTGAACAAACTCTATGAATGTAGCAGAAATAAAGACAAGTGACAAATGCCACTTTTATAGATATCAAACACAAGTTATAATTATCTGCTTTTAAGATGTAAATTTCTTCTACCATGGCCTTAGTGTATACATTTGGTGTTGGTTAAATATCACTCATAATAATTCTCCATTTTGTTTCATCAGCCTTTTTAATAATGTTATTTACAGTACAGTAGTAAGCAAATGTAAAACTTATCATCTTTGTGCTTAAAATTTCATCTTCACTAGATAAGCTTTGTTGAACATTGATGAACTCTCATTTACTATAATTTGTGCATCAGTAGTTATGTCAACTATGTACGTCTGTCTTTATTTACACTTGACGTAAGTTTTGTTACAAGTACGTACATTAACACGGGTAGTAAATCATCTTGGTAAAGTAGTACAGTGGTGGTAGACCATTTGTTATAGTCAAGGTGTTGTCACTATCTCACGGAAACTCTTCAATCTCTGTTGAAATTGTACGTAAATATTTGATAAGTTTTGCTCAACTCTGACGAGATATTTTGATATTTTATCTTGACTAAAATGGTTGGTAGTTTTGATTCATGTTTTAAATATATTCTTTCATCACTTACAGATATATGGTACCATTGTCTGGTAAATAATGGTTAGGGTTCATATATAGTACCTGGTGTTATGGGGCAGATGAACTTTAACACCTCTTAACTGTATATAATATCATGTTTAATATATTGTTCAGTTAGCATCTTGGACCTTAGTTAGGTAACTCTTCTTGGTTATATATAAATTCATCCTTGGAACAGTCATTTTCTTATAGTAGCCAATGCTGAAATGTCAAACTCTGGGTTAAAATTAGTTGTTTGATCATGTCAAGCAGAAGACTTGTTTAAATTAACATACAGTATTTAGATATTTGCTGTTCTTATATACAACTTTTCCTAATAGTACTGGCATGTGTTTATCTAGCAATGGTGTTTTAAAAAATGATTGCTACAAGAATGTCATTAATTTTGTGCACCTGAATATATAGTTTTATGTTAATACAGGCTGTCCCCAACTTACAACAGGGATACATTCCTGGACCCATAGTTTAGGTTAGGTTAAAGCCCATACAAAACAACAATAATATCCCATATATAACAAATAATGTAAATAAAGTGATGTTAAACAATATATAAGGATAAAAATAATGTAAAAAATGGGATTTTAATTACAAGTTTTTGTGGTGAATGTATTGGGATCCCGTTCATAAGTGCGGGTGATGGTAAGTCGGACGGTCGTAACTCGGGGACTGCCTGTATACACTTTATGTTTGGCCATGATGTGCCACAAACATTAATATCTTACAGAATGAGATATAAGTATTTAAACTATTGCTGAATATTTTATTACAACCCCAATATTGTAGAACAAGTGTACAGTAATGGCTGGTCTTCAGATACTGTATGTGGATGTACTAAATTAATATTGCTGTAATTGCCCTAAAATTCATTATGAGTAAAGAAGCATTTAAATAATAAGTTTTGTATTTATGGAATTTAATGAGCAGAAGATTCCATGGCTGGTTTATATTTTGATTTGAGAGCCAAATGTTAGATTGGTCTGGACGACGCCCGGGGAGGAGCCAAGGTAATATTTATGATAATTTACTGTTTTATGACCGTAATTAATGCTGGAAATGATTCTAGATAGAATATTATTAAACAACATGATGGCAAGGGTTGAAGGTGACTGCCAATAACTCATAGAGATGAGTATTTTGTATAAATTTGGGTCACTTGTATATTACATTGTGTATACAGTGAACTGGAATCATAATATATTATTTATTGACATCATATTTATATTGTCTCCATATTACAAGTCCTACTGCGTCCCGAGAGACACGGGTACCAGTGTATTACATTGGTACTCGTGTCATGCAGAACACACTATAACTTGTGGTATGGAGACAATATTTATATGATTTAAGGACTGGGAGTTAGCACCACCAAAGAGTGGGTAGCATACAAGAATTAAATCTAAATTATTATGTATAAGTAGGAGGTGACATAGTGGTCAGTGACTCTTCCTGTGGTAGGAGGTCCCTGACAGTGGGACAGTCAAGGCAGTAGTGTTGAGGGAAGTTAGCATTGGGACAGTTACTGAGTTTACAGGAAGAGAAGTGCAGGCCATCTCCCACCTCAGATACTAACCTAATGCTAAAAGAGACAACATTATATCTGCTGACCATAAGTCCACGTCGACGATACTTGTGTGGACGAGGAAGAAAGTGATCATAGTTTTGGGTGGATATATCTTCAGCCACTTCACTATGCCTGTGATGGATTGTAGGGAGAAGAGCGGCTTAACGTATTCCCTCTCAATAGGGTCATGTTGGGCTTATATTGAGGCCTAACAGATCATGGTTGGACAGTCAGAGTTTGGAGAATCAGTTATTGATTAATCTCTTTTTTTTTCTTTTTACTTTTATCCTCTTCACCACTGAACGACTCGTTAGCTGCTTGGGAGATCGGTCACGTCTGCGTTACGCACTGTTGGGAAGTACTGGCCTTGAACTGGCTCCTGAATGTACCTGAACCTGCTCCAGTGTTGGTCAAGTCTGGTCTTGAAACAGCTCACACTCGGTGCCGTCACAACACTCTGGTAGATTGTTCCAAGAATTCACAACTCTCACTCCGAAAAAGTTTGCCCTCACAGTTTTCTGGACTTGTGGCTTCTTCAACCTTGAGCTGTGACCCCTTGTGGGGCGAGCGTCTGCCAGCTCCAGGTAAGGACACTCGACTGAGTAGTGCCCCTTGAGATGCTTATTCACCTCAGTTAGTTCCCCACTTGCCCGTCTGTAGTATAAGCTAGACAAGTTCAGGCGCTCCAATCTCTCAGGGTAGCTGATGAGTCGTAGTGCAGGCCCCAGTCTGGTGGCCCTCCTTTGAACATTTTCTCGGGGATCAGACGGGTTGAGAGTACTCCAAATGGGGAAGCACTTCACTCTTCAAGATCGTTATGAGGGACGGACCATCTAGATGTCTGAACGACCTTCTTATAAGACATAATAATTTATTTGCCTGATTTACCTTCTTCTCACAATGGCCCGAGAACTTCAGCTCATTGTCAACATACAAACCTAGGTCCTTCTCACATTCAGTCTCACCTAGTGCAGTTTCTTCATCCCGTTGGGACATATGATACGCCTCCTTACCGTTGGCACGCCCCAGGTGCATCCTCTTACACTTCGTGACATTGAATCTCGGCAGCCATTTCTTCGACCATTCTTGGAGCCCACAGAGGTCCTTCTGCAGCTCTTCACAGTCCGCTTGGTTCTTGATTTCGCGAAATAACTCGGCGTCATCGGTAAACATTTGTATGGAGGAGTGTACAACGTCAGGCATGTCATTTATGAAACAAACAAACAACAGCGGGCCCAATACACTGTCCTGTGGTACCCCGCTTGTGACAGGTACGGATGATGATTTCGTGCCATTAATCACCACACACTGCTTGCGGTCATGTAGAAAGTCTACTATCCACGGACATTTCCCCGAATTCCGTACCCTTGAGTTTAATTTTCAACCCAGTACTTGCCAACAGTGCCTAACAGAGACGTGACCGATCGCCCAAGCGGCTAACGAGTCAATCATTTGGTGAAGAGGATGAAAGTAAGTACCAGTAAGTCCTGGCCTCATGTCGCTTCCCATAACAGATTAGGGAAGGTTTTATGCTATTGTTACACTTTCCTGGATAAATTCTGGATAATACTATTCCTAATAAGTAAAAAAGTAAATTATTGACCTCCCGAACGGCTAGTAAGCAGATAAATGCTGAAAAATAAATCATTTTAAGCTTGGCATGATGTGTTATTGATAGACGTCGCTTATACAACAAAACCAAGACGAGGACGATACTCTATTGTTTAGTTATTTCACCATTTATCTGTTTATTTGCTATTCTGGCATTTAGTTCCGTATTTTATTAATCAATTATCACCTTAACTGTCCCGTGTTAGTACAGGAGGAACAGTAATTGGTAAAAAACACTAAATAACACCACGTTTTATTCTCAGGCTGTGGGACTTGAACACAGGACAAAATGATGAACGCCTTACATTATTACCAAAAGATATTAATATATCTAACATTAATATACAATATAAAACTATTTTATTTTTTTATCGTAGTAAAGTTAATTTATCATAATATAAGTCATTAAATTAGTTTATTAACACACTAAGACCATTGCGGCATGTTGGTGATCAACAACCAAAACTATTGTAAACAAACACGAGTGAGGCAGAACTTCTTCCTATTATTATGGCTAATTATCACCTTATTAGTTATTGGATAATGACTAATTCAGGTAAGTGTGTTGATTATAATACTAGTAACATATTTTATAGAGTTTAATATAGGAGTGAGTTGTTTAATGGTTATAATGAACTGTTATGTGTTGGTCCGGGATGATAATGGCGTCGGTGCTAAGAATTTTACC